TGCACGCCTCCCCTGAGGTCCCAGGCCTGGGGTTCTCTGACTTGAGAGAAGAAGGAGCCGCAAGCTCTCCCCTCCCGCATGCCAGCGCTCTGGGGAGTCGCCTGACGTGGCAGCCCCAGGACCCTCTGCGTGTTCCAGGGAGGCGCAACTCTGGGTGTGCGACCCCTGAGCTTGCTGGACCAGGAGATCGGACTCAGCTGGGGAGTGGGACCTGGGGGAGGCATCTTCCATGCTGCTGCAGTCCAGAGCAGAGCGGGGGAGGGAGATGGTGTATTTGGGCCGAGCCACACTCCTGGGGTCCCCAGAAGTCCGGCTGGGCCAAGCTTCACTCTGCCCCAGCTTTTCCCTGCCGCCCCTGCAGGGGTCCTGTGGACTCCCCAGGAGGCATCAACACCAAACTGGCCTTATCTCCTCCATCAGTGGTCGGGTTCTCTGTCTGTTCGAGAGTTGGCATCTCCCACTGCGCTCTGAGGGCACCCCAGATAGCTTAGTCCCTGGGGCCCCTCTTAGGGACCAGGGTAAGGGGAAGAGTCCTCTCTCCATTTCAGATACGCAAAGAACCTGGAAGGGACAAAGAGGACCGCTAGAAAGCCAGGTGCAGTGGCTCACACCTGCAGTCCCAGCACTGTGGGAGGCTGAGGAGAGAGGACCGCCTGAGCCCAGGGGTTCCAGACCAGCTTAGGCAACTTGGTGAGACCTTGTCTCTACGATAATAAAAATAAATGAGGTGGGCATGCTGGTGCGTGCCTGTAGTTCCAGTTACTTGAAAGGCTGAGGCAGAGGGATGACCTGAGCCCAGCAGGTTGAGGTTGCGGTGGCCATGATCGTACCACTGCACTCCAGCCTGGGTGACAGAGTGAGACTCCAACTAAAAAAAAAAAAAAAAAAAATACCCTTTGGGTTTCCCAGCGGTCCCCAGGGGATGGCTCAGTCATCTAAAGAGAGGGTGAGGAGAGAACACTCCAAGCTACCTCTGTGCAGACACATCCTTAGAGAAAGAGTAAGAACTGTCCCTAGCTGGCTCGGTGGCTCAGCCTGTAATCCCGCGCCTTGAGAGGCTGAGGTGAGTGGATTGCCTGAACCCGCGGGTTCGAGACCGGCCTGGGCAACTTGGCGGGACCTCATCTCTACAATAAACCAAAAATGAGCCGGGCGTGGTAGCGCGCACCTGTAGTTCCAGCGACTTGGAAGCTGAGGCGGAGGATCACCGGAGCCCAGCAGGGCAAGGCTGTGGTGGCCGGGAGTGGCCACTGCACTCCAGTCTGGGTGACGGAGTGAGACTCCAACTCAAAAAAAAGAAAAAAAAGAACGGTCCCTGATATAGTCAAGAGGGAACGAACATGGCTTTCAGCTCAGGTGGGCCTGGGTTCAAATCATTAGCAAACGACCTAATTTTCCTCATGAGAAAATGAGGTCTCGAACCCCTCAAGTGCTTCCATGAGCCCTGACACATAGTAGGGCTCCGCAGATGCTTGAGATCACCCTCCTCAACTTGACTGTCCTTTGCTATGAAGGTTATCTGAGATCATGCCATGTACGCAGAAACACTTTTTTTTTTTCGAGTCAGAGTCACACTCTGTCCCCCAGGCTGGAGTGCAGTGGCACGCTCATGGCCACCACAGCCCCCGCCTGCTGGGCTCAGGTGAGCCTTCCGCCTCAGCCTTCCAAGTAGCCGGAACTCCAGGACACGCCACCACGCTGGGCCAATTTTTTGATTTATTGTCGCAATGAGGTCTTGCCATGTTGCCCAGGCTGGTCTCGAACCCGGAAACTCAGGAAATTCTCTCGCCTCTGCCTCCCAAAGTGCTGGGATGACAGGCGTGAGGCACCGTGCCCGGCTCAGAGACACACTTTCCATGAAGCCGATGGCAACCAAGCTTCAGGGCTCCTCGGTGGCAGGGATCCCGTCCACGGCTCTGCATCTAATTTCGTATGTGTAGTTTTGTCGAGCTTGAAGAGGGCCTGCTCGAGTTTTCTAAGCCTGAGTGTGCACTTAGTACAGGATGGGAGTGGATGGGTGAATGAGGCAGTGGACAGGTAAGGAAGGGGAGAGGGACCATGGGGGTGAAGCCGGCTAGATGGTGGCCCTGAAGGTAGGAAGGGGATAGTACTCACCCTGGAAGAGGGGGCAGATCTTCCTCCAGGCCGTGACGCTCCCTTGGCTCGTGTACTGGCCCAGTGCCACCTCCAGGAAGAACACCGGGATGCCACAGGCGAAGAAGAAGATAAAGTAGGGAATGAAGAAGGCTCCTGAGGAGAGAGGGAAAGAGAGGCGGGGCTGAGCCACAGCCCTGGGCTCTCCTCAGCCTCCAACCTTTCAGTTCTGCCTGCCCCCCAAAGACCCACTCCCCAGTGCCCCCTGTTTATCTCCCTCCTGACACCACCCAAGGGTCCAGGGCGGCTTCCTGCAGTTCTGTGTGCTGCCGAGGGTTTGGCACCAAGGGGAATTTTGTGATCTGAGTCCTATGTGGGATAAGAAAGCCCTTCGAAGGGAAACTAATGAAAATGTAAGTGGAAATCCTAATCGATGCAGTATTTGTTTTCTTCGTGTGCTTTACAAATCTAGCCAGTGTATTATTTTTGGAACAGAAACGTGTTCTGTATAATTTGATATGCGTATTAAATGATCGGGTTGGGTGCATTTTAGAGAAAAACAAACAAAAACACCTTGGAAATATTCTTTTCCCACTAATGATTTTTGGAGGGTGGTTTTCCTCCACCAGCCTCTGATCTGAACTGGACTCCCGGCAGAGAAGGCCACCGTGCGATTAGGCGCTTTCTACAGGTGCCAGAGGCAGGCCAGGCCTCCAAACATCCAGAAAATGGTAGGAGAATGAACTCCGAAGGCAAGTCCCACCCAGGAAACCCACTCCAGCTGGAGCCACTGAGGCATATATCTACCCTGCCTCCAAGCCCATCTCTGGGTGACTGGATCATTGTTTATTGCACAGTAACTCTAAATGCTTCACCAACACCAAAACCTTTGCCAGACAGCCTCCCACGGGTTAGGGACTATTGTTACTCCCTTTTACAGATGAGAAAAGCAAGACCAGTTTAAAGAGACACAAATGGGCCGGGCTCGGTGGCTCAGCCTGTCATCCCAACACTTTGGGAGGCCGAGGCGAGTGAACTGCTGGAGCCCGCGGGTTCGAGACCAGCCCGGGCTACTTGGCGAGACCTGGTCTCTACAATAAATCAAAAAAATTAACTGGGCATATTAGCGCCTGTAGTTCTGGCCACTTGGAAGGCTGAGGCAGAAGGATCGCCGGAGCCCAGCAGGTCGAGGCTGGGGTGGCCGGCCGTGAGTGTGCCACTGCCCTCCAGCCTGGGCACCAGAGTGAGACTCCAGTTCAAAAAGAATAAAATAAAGTAAATAAAGAGTCACCAATGAGGAAACAGAGGCACAAACCGAGGTCGCCTGATCTGATCTGTGCTCTTGACCACTACGTTACAAGCCTCTGACGTCATCCACATTATTTGCAGAAAAAAATAGAAAGCACCATGGAAAAGGTATTGCCTATCCTTCTAGATGCCCTGTCCGCACTCACACACGTTCCTGTTTTGCAAAAATGAGAACCTGCCATCCATTACTTGATAACAATTTAAGAAACGCATATTCTGAGCCTCCTCATATCCGTGAATGCATGTGTGCACCATCCTTTTGAACGCTGCGTAGTCCTCCGCCATCTGCATCTGTCACTGTGTATTTCGTCAGTATCTCATCATTGGCCTTCTCAGGCGTTTCATTAGAAACTGCTGTGGTGAGCCGGGCGCGGTGGCTCATGCCTGTCATCCCAACACTTTGGGAGGTGGAGGTGAGAGGATTGCCTAGGCTCAGGGGTTCAAGACCAGCCTGGGCAACCTGGCAAGACCTTGTCTCTACAGTAAATCAAAAAATTAGCTGGACGTGGTAATGTGTGCCTGTGGTTTCAGCTACTTGGAAGGCTGAGGTGGAAGGATCGCCTGAGCCCAGCAGGTCAAGGCTGTGATAGCCATGAGTGTGCCACTGCACTCCAGCCTGGGTGTCAGAGTGAGACCCCGAATCAAAAAAAAAAAAAGAAATTGCCACGGTGAAGGGCACTGTCTGTGTCCTTGTGCTCTTGTCTAATTTGCACCTTAGTACACAATTTCAGTAGAAGAATTGCTGAGTCAAAAGCATGAATTTCTCTCTCTCTCTCTCTCTCTCTGTCTCTCTCTCTCTCTCTCTCTCTGTGTGCGCGTGTGTGTGTGAAAATATTCATAACATAAAACATTTCTTTTTTTTTTTTTTTGAGTTGGAGTCTCACTCTGTCGCCCAGACTGGAGTGCAGTGGCCGCTCCCGGCCACCACAGCCTCAACCTGCTGGGCTCCAGCGATCCTTCCGCCTCAGCCTTCCAAGGAGCTGGAACTACAGGTGCGCACTACCACGCCCAGCTAATTTTTGATTTATTGTAGAGATGAGGTCTCGCCAAGTTGCCCAGGCTGGTTTCGAACATGTGAACTCAGGCAATCCCCTCTCCTCGGCCTCCCAAAGTGCTGGGATTACAGGCTGAGCCACCGAGCCCAGCCTTAATTTTTTAAATTTTTTTACTGTAGAGACAAGGTCTTGCGAAGTTGCCCGGGTGGGTCTCGAACCCGCGGGCTCAGGCAATCCCCTCTCCTCGGCCTCCCAAAGTGCGGGATTACAGGCTGAGCCACCGAGCCCAGCCTTAATTTTTTAAATTTTTTTACTGTAGAGACAAGGTCTTGCGAAGTTGCCCGGGTGGGTCTCGAACCCGCGGGCTCAGGCAATCCCCTCTCCTCGGCCTCCCAAAGTGCGGGATTACAGGCTGAGCCACCGAGCCCAGCCTTAATTTTTTAAATTTTTTTACTGTAGAGACAAGGTCTTGCGAAGTTGCCCGGGTGGGTCTCGAACCCGCGGGCTCAGGCAATCCCCTCTCCTCGGCCTCCCAAAGTGCGGGATTACAGGCTGAGCCACCGAGCCCAGCCTTAATTTTTTAAATTTTTTTACTGTAGAGACAAGGTCTTGCGAAGTTGCCCGGGTGGGTCTCGAACCCGCGGGCTCAGGCAATCCCCTCTCCTCGGCCTCCCAAAGTGCGGGATTACAGGCTGAGCCACCGAGCCCAGCCTTAATTTTTTAAATTTTTTTACTGTAGAGACAAGGTCTTGCGAAGTTGCCCGGGTGGGTCTCGAACCCGCGGGCTCAGGCAATCCCCTCTCCTCGGCCTCCCAAAGTGCGGGATTACAGGCTGAGCCACCGAGCCCAGCCTTAATTTTTTAAATTTTTTTACTGTAGAGACAAGGTCTTGCGAAGTTGCCCGGGTGGGTCTCGAACCCGCGGGCTCAGGCAATCCCCTCTCCTCGGCCTCCCAAAGTGCGGGATTACAGGCTGAGCCACCGAGCCCAGCCTTAATTTTTTAAATTTTTTTACTGTAGAGACAAGGTCTTGCGAAGTTGCCCGGGTGGGTCTCGAACCCGCGGGCTCAGGCAATCCCCTCTCCTCGGCCTCCCAAAGTGCGGGATTACAGGCTGAGCCACCGAGCCCAGCCTTAATTTTTTAAATTTTTTTACTGTAGAGACAAGGTCTTGCGAAGTTGCCCGGGTGGGTCTCGAACCCGCGGGCTCAGGCAATCCCCTCTCCTCGGCCTCCCAAAGTGCGGGATTACAGGCTGAGCCACCGAGCCCAGCCTTAATTTTTTAAATTTTTTTACTGTAGAGACAAGGTCTTGCGAAGTTGCCCGGGTGGGTCTCGAACCCGCGGGCTCAGGCAATCCCCTCTCCTCGGCCTCCCAACGTGCTGGTATGACAGGCTGAGCCACCCAGCCTGGCCAACATAAATCATTTCTAAGAATGCAGCTCTGTGGCATTAAGTCCATCCACAATGCCGTGTAACCATCACCACCATCCACCGCCAGAACATTTTCATCTTCCCAGACTAAAACTCTGAGTCAAAAGGCATGCATTTCTCTCTCTCTCTCTCTCTCTCTCTCTCACCATGAAACCCTAACTCCCCCTTCCTCTCCCTCAGCCCCTGGCAACCACAATTCTACTTCCTGTCTCTGCGAATTCACCTCTTCTAAGCAACTCATGTAAGTGGAGTCCTGGGGAATTTATCCTTGTGGATCTGGCTTACTTCACTTAGCGTGTCTTCAAGATTCATTCACGTCATAGCACTGATCAGAATTTCCTTCTTTTCTCAAGACTGAATACTATTCCCCTGCATGCATGTACATTCTGTTGATCCTTTCACCCGCTGATGGACATTTGGGTGGTTTCCATCTTTTGGGCAAGCACATTTTTTCCAAGGTCTTTGTCGCACATTTCCAAATTACTCTTTCTAACTCTAGTGCCCATCTGCCTTCCTGATAGCAACATGTGAGAGCAAAGGAAGAAGATTTGTGTCTTCTGGGACCTAGGGAGCCACAGCAAGCCAGAAGTCCTTTTGAACCCTGTGTTTGCCTGTCCAACCTGAGGAATACTGGAGCACCAGTAAACACATCACTGACTCAGAGCGGCTTGGATGGTTCCAGGGGTCAGGCTGAAGAGACGTGACCAGACACCACTTTAAGGAAGTCTATGGGGACACGTGGCCCATAGGACCCCCACCCACCAGGGCATGGAGGTCCTTCCCTTTAAAAAAAGGCTTCAATTCTGGCCTTGGAACCTGGACTTCTGCTCCGCAGAAGATGGGGTGACCTCAGGAGGCTTCGATCTGGGCCTCCCTCAGGCTGGGAGGGAGGGTAACAACAGGCCTGGACTTTTGAGGGGCAGAGTAAGAGACTGGGTGAGCACAGGGGCATCCCCCATCCTGCGCTGTCTCCCTGGTTCTCAACACACAAATGCTGCAGACGCCCTCCCCTCCAAACACCTTATCAGATCCTTGCTTTGGGAGGTCACTGTGGTCCATAACCTCTTGGTGTCTGCCCAGGCTGCAGACACGAGCAGCCTGAAGATGTCCCAGGGGAGTCTTTGCAGACAGGGTGCCCTGAAGCTTGTGGTTAATTTAAGATCTCTCTCCCTGGCCAGGCACGGTGGCTCACACCTGTAATCCCAGCACTTTGGGAGGCTGAGGCGGGAGGATCACTTGAACCCCGGAGTTTGAGACCAGCCTGGGCACTATAGTGAGACCTCGTCTCTACAAAAAATAAAAATAAATTGGCTGGGTATGATGGTATGCACTGGTAATCTCAGCTACTGGGAAGGCTGAGGTGGAAGGATCATCTGAGCCCAGCAGGTCGAGGCTGTGGTGGCCATGAGTGTACCACTGCACTCCAGCCTGGGGACAGATTAAGACCCCACCTCAATCAATCAATAAATTACTAAAATCTCCCTCCCTGTCCCTGAGCTATGCCTTATCGTCTCTGTCATGTGCTCCTTCCTGAACCACTAACAATCCAGACAATCAGAATTCCATCAAGTTCTCTTTTGAGGGGAACCATTTTTGGGGGATGGCCACGATTAGTGACTCTCCTCTTTTCCATCACCAAAGACCACATTAGACCCATCATCTTGTTCCTATTTTTTGTCTTTTGAAAGATTTTTCTCTACAGAAATGTGTTTACTGATTAATAATCAACTGATTTTCCTCCATATGTTCATAAAAACCATCTACAAGGCCGGGCACGGTGGCTCATGTCTATAATCCCAGCACTTGGGGAGGCCAAGGCGAGAAGATTGCCTGAGCCCGCGGGTTTGAGACCAGCCTGGGCAACTTGGCGAGCCCTCATCTCTACGATAAATCAAAAACCAAAAATAACAAAATCATCTATAGCTGCCAGTCAGGGTTTATGGTCAGCTTGCGTTTAGCCCTGGTATCACAACAAATGAGTATAATTCTGGCCTAAAGAAAAAAAAGCGACGTCTGGGTTAGTCTGTGATGTTGCATTCCCACATAAATTAGGTTGTCAGAAACAAGGAAACTAATTCCTAGTCATTCTTTTTTTTTTGAGTCCCAGACTGGAGTGCAGTGGCACCATCATGGCTTGCCACAGCCTCGACCTCCTGGGCTCAGGCAATCCTCCCGCCTCAGCCTCCTAAGTAGCTGGTATTATAGCATGTGCCATCACACCTAATTTTTTTTTTTGGAGTTAGAGTCTCACTCCGTCGCCCAGACTGGAGTG